GGTGTTTGCATGTTTTTTCCATGTGTTTCCGATGAAGCGACTTATGAATGGGAGCCGGAGGACGTTTGATGGGCTACGTTGACGTTGGATGTCTCTTGGGCGGCTACTGTAGGCGGTCACCCACTTTGGAATGCCACGCTATGAACATGTTTGTAGTTGGTATAGGCTGGGAGTCAGCATGCCACAGGCAAGACACACCTATATATAGTATAAGGTTGTTTGGGCTCGTTCCAGCGCAATCTGAGGTACCAAGCAGGCTTCATGGGTCATGGGAGTGCGTCTTGGTAGTGAGATGTCAGGGTGGCGGTTATCACAGGGTGCAAGTAAAAGAGCGCCAAAAGACTATGATTTCCCATGTCGTGGATCCATCAGTCATACTATGATACGCCATGATAGCCATGTTACTGAACACGTCCCAACAAAAAGGCGAATCGCCATATCTGACGGTCGTTTGGCCAAAGGGTGGAGCTGTGAGGCCCTCAATGATCCATCTAAACCACGTCCGTCTTAAACTGGACTCCTTGGCTCAGGTCTCGCAACAGCGCAGCTTGGACACCCCCCCTGATATCACCGATTACCATGTACAATTGAATGATTTTGCTTATCCCGTTCATGGCGGCCAGTGAAGCAATCTGGATTAGAACTACCAATTGTGTTGTTTTAGCTTTCCTTTCTGAAGCAACACATACATTATCATGCATGATCATTGTCTTGCCTGGCTTGCCTTACCCATAGGGCCCATCCCCCCCGCCGTCCTTTTCGGGCCTTTACGATCCACCTCCCCTCACAAGCTAGGCCCCTAGGCTGCCAAACAAGCTAAGCTGTGCATGGCTTCGGGAAGCTCCTCCCCAAACTCACCGCGCTCTCAGACCCCGTTGACCCCGTTGGATCCGGTCTGGGGAGCGTCGAAGCTCCCGCGGTCTGCGCATCCGAAACCCGACCGAGGTCTGGGAGCTGGGCCCGGCGGCGGAGAAGGCAGCGCCCCAAAAACGGAGCGTGGCGATCGCTCCGGTGGTAGCGATGCCCTTTGCTCCGTTCGTAGCTGCTACTAGTAACTATAGATGTAACTAGTAACTAGTAGTCAATTAGCTCCGTTCGTAGCGATGCCAGCCACTAAATAGCGTCCTTGCTCCTAGTAGGGCCAGGAGCCCCGTTCGTAGCGTCCTCTAGGTGGCACGAAAATGCCTCCGGCTTCTGGACACGTTCCTCGTCCCGGTCGCGGCAGCGGTGTTGCGGTCGCCGGTGGTAGGTAGGGGTTGGGGAGTGGTTTCGGGGAGCAGATGGGGATTTGGGGGGAGGGATGATTCAGAGAAAGCGACGGAAAAATTGAAGTGAAGGGAGGTGCAAAGCCCGCCAATGTGCATGTTCATCATGTTTCACGATGATTTCCACCCGGCTATGGATCAAACTTGGCAAACCGATCACAATGGGCTGTGGATTTCTGTTGCTTCTTGCATTGAATGAATTTTGAGCAATGTTCCATCAAATTTGCCTCGGCCTAGCCCAAACCATTCTGCAAGGTGAATTTGTCCACAAGCCCCGGCGAATTCCAGCCAGCCAAGCTGGACCCGACGGGACTTTGAGTGAAATCAATACCTATATCTTTCAAAGGGAACAGGATGATGCCCAACCTTTCGATTTCCTTTTAAACAAGCCTAACAAGCCACCAACACATACCTACAGACCCTCCCCCTTCACAAGATTTGAGAGATCGCCCAAGGGAACCGTGGTTCGATAGCGCCTTTCCTTCGTTTGGGCGATGCAAGGAAAGTGCTCCCTGTGCTGGAGGACGACGTGCTGGCGAAGTTCCTGCACGGCTCTGCACATTACTTTTTAAGCCACTTCGACCCAAGCCATGGCACAGCGGTTGCCATCGATCATTTAACATGTGTAACGGGTACAGATAGTATTACAATGTATATGTAAATGTATATGCAAAATCAAATCAGTGAATACTCAGATGACCTAGGACTTCTGGGCTGAAGTCCTTTCTCACTAGAGGCCACAAGTCCCAAGACATCAGAATCTAGTATAACCGATATCATTTTCAAGCATTAATTTATATTAATTTTATAGTTATTATAACTTGACCCCGGATCCTTAGGCGCCTTCACTGAACACCCATTTTCCAAACGACCAACATGATGAGAGATAATATCAGAAGATATCAGAAGCAGCTAGCTAGCTTCCTGCTAAGCGATCCACGCTTTGGAGCTTGGCCCTGCCCCATCCCCTTCCTGCCGAGGGAAGGCCATGAGCGCCACAGAGACGGAGCAACGGACGGCGTCGCGCACGGCAAAAGCGAAGCTGATGGAGGTCTACCGAGACCAAGAGCTACGAGAGGAGCTGCGGGGATCATCCAAGAAACCCAAAAATATTTGAAGGGTGGGGAACCAAATGGGACCCACACTTTTTGGATGTGCTTCGAGGGGGTCGGATGGTTGGAAGTATTCTGGGGCAGGCACTGGAAGATCTGGGAAGACTGCCGAGAAGAGGATGGACATGTCCTGCCAAGCCTCACGGATCTCACTGGAAGGGATCTTGGTGATTCGGAGATCCTGACCCACTTCAACGTATTATGTTGAATATAGGCAGTTATATAGGCACACGGGGTGTTTGTTGAAAAGGAGGAGCAGAGCCTGAAAAGAGGGCCTTACTGTACCTACTCCGGCATTGTTTTCTTTTGGCCTGGCAGGACTATCGCGAGAACGCCTGCGAGTTCTTGTCGGCACTCTTCCATGAAGCTGGTGAAGCCGCAGCTTGGAGGTGAAACCTCGTGGCCGCCGTGGTCGGCGATGACGCCCACCCGTGGGTGCGCGCGTCGTTGGAAGAGAAGGATGGAACGATGCAACGGCGCGTTTCATGTAGTGCTCCTCAACCCCCCCCTCTTGAGGACACAGCCTCATCGAGAGTCGTACATGTACTGCGGCATGGTTCGGACTGGTCGGACAGTCGGACGTAGAACGGTTCAGAATCGCTGGCCGATTCGCTCGTTCAGCTTGGGCCTTTGGGTTGTGACTTGAGACACGGCTGCTCAGTGGAACCGCCATCCGATCGTTCCAAGGACAAGGCCCAGGATGTCCTCAAAGGTCTCAGCGTCGACGTCGAGCAGGTGAGCACATCAGTCAATGGCATTAATGGCCATGCGAATGGTGGCGCTGATGCCAAGGCTGCGTGGAGAATGGACTGCGAAGGTTCTTTTTGGGTGATTGGTGGTGTCTTTCTGTGTTGAATGAGTTCGAAAGGATTTAGTTTGCTTGTCCCGCGTCCCCTTTTTCTATGACATTTGGGTCCAAGCCAAGCGGATGGTGGAAGTTGTGTCAGGACGGTTCATGGATTGTTCAGATGGTTGAAGGGACAGAGCCGGTGTTTGTTTCTTTTTATGTTTTTCGTGTTGCTGCCCACAGCCGGCCTTGAGCCTCTTCAGTATCATCAAAAAACTAATTATTTAAAACACATTCATTATGGCAGATATAGCTTTATGATGCTTTATACACATCGAATCTATATGTGTACATGTTTGTCTCCGCTTCCACCTTCCCATCATCTCCCTGAATCCTCTTCTGGAACGTCCGGTTCCGATGGTTCCGTTCCTTTCTGTACCACTCCGGTTCCCTTCGCTCGCCGGCTCCGCCCGGCTCCGCCCGGCCCCGCCCGGCTCCGAGGCGCAGCCGAAGGCGACGTCCGCGGGGGATTCGCGCTGGGCCTGGCGGCAACGGCGAGAGCCGAAGTCGGTCGAAGCTCCGGAGGAGGTGCCGGTGGCGAAGCCGTCGCCCAAGCAGGAGGCCAGGGAAACTTATGTAAAGATAATAAGGGTGAGATGAAGAGGATTCCATGTGTTTCCTTCATTCTTTTGACTTGGGGCACTTTTGCTGGTGTTGGTGTTGTTGGTCTTCGTTGTGGTGCTGCTCCTTGGAATTAGTGCTGCTGCTGATGATGTTTGTTCCTTTGGTCGTATCAGTGCTTCCTTTTCCTCAGACCTCCCCGCACTTTCGATCGATCAGCGATCTCGCCGTCCAGTCCAGGTGATCTCGGCCAAGTTGAAGGAAGCACCCAGCAAGTCGAGTGGCATCCCCTCCATCGACGAAGTTTTAGCAAGATTGGACCTGGAAGAGCAACAGGAGCAAGAGACGTATTGATCAAAAAGACGCGGCAGGGTGGGAAGATCGTCCAGCGAGGTGGGAGTATAAGACCAGCGACCAGTTTTGTTTGTTATTTTGGGAGGCAATCCAGAAAACAGCAACCTAGTTTGCGTGTCTCAATTATACGCCCCATCCACAAGGCTCAACCCCAAAAAGGGCAGTCTCACCAGATGGAGAAACCCAAACCAGTCGTCTTTGTTCTTTCTGACCTTAGATGGTGGAACCCTTGCAGCCAGCAAATCCAAAAACCTTCCCTCAAAATTTTCCACTATAGACAAGTCGGGTCCAAGTTCTTTCAAAGAACACCCAAGACCTACGAAGACTAATTTCTTTGTTTTCCATTCAAGGGTATGTGTGTGTCGGGGTATTCATTTCAGGTTTTCCTTCAGGACCAAATCCAAGGCGATGGAGTCAAAGCATGTCAAACCAAAGAGCCCAGACCGTACCCATTTGGATCCCATTTGGAGCGATTTGGATCTGTTGTTGGCCGCCCAGGTGATTTCAGCCCATGAGCTTCGGCCGGAGCGGCCGCAAGCCTGCCTGGGCGACTGCCAAGTCTGGGGTGTTTCACCAGCTACGGTCATTAATATGTATGCAAAAACAATCGGCACGACGGCAGGAAATTGGGGCTATTTTCGAACGACCGAGTCCCCCGCTTCAGCCACGCAGAAAGAACCACGCTTCAGCAGGAACCTATAACCATCTATAACATATATATATATAGGGTTATATCACCTATATAAATGGTTACTTATATGGTTATATAACCATCTATAACAATGCGACTGCCAAGATCGTTTCTTTTTTGGTGGATGTTGGTGGGCCGATCGTCCCCGCCCCACCTCGACGCCGAGTGAGGTGTGACGAGCTGCGTTCGGGACGCCCAAGCCCCATGCGACGCCGAAAAGGGGAGACGAAGAGAGAGAGAGAGAGAGAGAGAGAAAGGTGACGCTTAGATGTTCAGTTTTAGGGACCTTCGGGGGTTGGTTGATGGTAGTTGGTTTTGGATGTGTTTCTTGCTGAACCGGACCTGAACTGGGGTTCTTGTTGAAGTTTTTTCAGAGTTCGACATCTACATTCTGTAGTCTAAAGAGGACATGATCCCAAGCTGATGGCCGGCCAAGATCTTGGACCTGATCGAGGAACCTACTATTCTGAGATTTAGAAGGTCCTGTCACTTTGATCGTTGCACCGGATTCCTTCATCCTGTTGGAAGACCGGAAGGACCCCCGGGAGCGACATCATCGGACGGCCCCCGAGACGGGAACCGGGAAGAAGCGACGCACTTCCGGTCGCCACCCATGGACTGCTGGAATTGATGGACTGACTGCTTATTGTATGTAATTTGAGTATGTGCCCGTTTCATGTTGTATAGTATAGGTGCAGTGTATACACAATTATACACGGCGCGATCACAGCACGGCTAGTGTTGCTAGATGTTGCTAGTATTCTCAGTTTTTGTTGGAGGACAGGACACGCATCCAAAACATGGGGACATTTCCTTTGGGCAGCTTGCAATTGCGGCAGTTTACCAGGTGCCCGCTACAACAACCTCGAAGCTGATCACTCTGCAGCTGTCTTAGCTGAATGCTTGGGGGTGGTTGACACCTTTAGACAGTCATTTCAGTCACCCAAGCATGCTAGACCAACCCAGGACAGGGGGGATTCGTGTGCTTGTCACGACCAAAAGCCATGGCCGGGCCATGGTACCGAGCATATTTCAATGCGGAATGGTGCATGGTATGACCGTGGTGCGTTTGCCCTGCAATGCACCGTGGATCCACCGGAGATCCGAGAACCCCGGCGGATCGTCCAAGGACCTGAACCTCCGTGCTGAAGAAGCTCTCGCAGGGCACGAGGCGCCGAGCAGATGGATATCCAGCCGGTAAACCGGCTGTCTGTCCGGAGGGCGGCGAGAGGGTCCGTCCCATAGGCTTCACTGCGGTCCGGTGCCATTCAGCAACTCTTCGTTCTTGACAAAAGTGGCGGAGGTCTGACGGAGATGCCATCTCATTAGTTCAAGAAGCCAAAAAATGTGGACCGATTCGATGGTACTTGGGGGTCTGAATCCGGGCTAGTGCGCGCCCCCCATGCTTGTTGATGTTATTGAGTGCTTGACGTTCTTCCAGCGGACACCGACGGAGGCCCTGACTGCTGAGCACCAGCGGGTGATCGAGCAGGCCTCCGCTGGACCCGGTCGAGTTGATTCGAACACCTTTAGGCCGATCCGCGGCCCCCAGCGCTCCTACTGGGCCAATCGAAGTAGTCGATAAAGGTTGCTGCGCGGGACCCGTGGGACAGTCCTTCGCCTTTGCTCACTTCGGTCTCAAGGAGCCAAGCCCGCCGTGCTACACCGGTGGGACGCCAGTTCGCCTGTAGGATCATTGGAACCAACCCCCCCCTTCCCCATCCTGCCAGTTCGCCGATCCGAACTCTTCTCCCCCCCTGAACTCGGCCAGGCGAAGCAACTGCAGAGTCGCCAGGGCTTGGAGGATGAGGTGAGAAGAACATCCGACATACATCGACGTGTTCTCCCACGGAGTTCACGTCGATGTCTTGGGGGGGTCGCTGAATTTGTGGTGAATTGGTCTAAGATCGATAGTTCAGAGAAATGCTAGCCGCTAACCCTGCTTGGCCAAACAAATGATAGGTTTGCATGCATGCATGGTAAGCCAATGTTGCCATGGAGCTAGCATGATTTTTCTCTCCAAGCTCCTGCGCACAGGGCCTGCGAAAGACGCCTGGAGCTCAGCGAGGGTGGGAGTTCCAACACACGGACCAATCGAAGTATCGGAATTCCCGCCATATCCTGCCGAATGTCGCAGCAGGATTCACTCGCTAGTACAGTGGGTTGCTGGATCCGGAAGTCAGATGAAGTAAGTAGTAGATTTGACCTATACTACACGTTATTTCAGGGATTTAGTAAAACCCCCTGCGATTTGGACTGAACAAGGATTTACATGTGGATTTATGAATCAAGAGTCTACATTACCTGTAGAGTGCTGTAGTCTCTCCAGGTCGTTGGGTCGTTGGTGTCGTGCAGGACCATCAGTGACACGTCGTGCGTGTGTGATCGTTTAGGGTGACACATGGCGAGATACCTTTTAGAATGGCCAAGATTCTCAGACTTTTTGTTGCGTAGCTCTATGTTTGGGGAAATGTTGGATTGCCATATAGTGAAGTAGGTACAATTTTGACATGCAGTGTAACCGATGAAGATGCCTAATTTTTTAAAAAATTGAAGTATCTCTTTTGCTCCTTCGATCCACTGGAAGTGCAGGCACCAGGCGCTGGAGGCCGAGCTCTTGAAGGTGCAGGCGGCGAATGACAACTCGGGCCGTGGTTTGGTGTGGGAGGAGTGAGTGATCAGGGCAGCAGAGGTTTGGGTTGTTCTGGTGCGGAGAATTGTTGAGGCGTTTAGTTGAGAGATCCAACTACCGATAGAAGAAGGCTCAGAAGATCTCAAAGGGTAGGAATTGACTGACCATCCAAAGCTTGTCTTGTCTTACGGCTCTGCCGTTTCACCGATGGAGGCCGAGCGAGATATCCTCGCGAAGCAGGCCGAGCCGGAGCTGACAGAGTCCAGTGACCAGCAACTTACCGATCCATTGCCCGCGCCACCTGACTGTCGTAGTGTGTCCTGAGAATGCGTTGGGTTTTTGGGCTGGGGTTTATGTTCTGGTTATTGACATGACAGGGGGAAAAGAAATTCCTGGTGATGGGGTGGGTGTGTGGGTTTCACGTCCGGCGAACCCAGGAGCATGTTGCCACCGCTTCCTCAGACCGAACAAGGCGAATCCAGTGGCGAATCCATGTGAATTACTGGCCAGGATGTTGCAACAGGTGGCTCTTGGAGGGTAGCAAGTGGTTTCCGCACACCACGTGTCGCCAAAGGCAGCACCTGCCGGGTGTGTGTGTGTGTGTCTCTGTGTGTGTGCGTTACGGGTGAAAGCACAGACCACAACACCCTGCCTCCCATGCGGTCTGGGAGACGCGCAGGTGAAGGATCAGGAGCTTTACACCGCAGCCAGGCGACGGAGCCGGATTCGGATGGGTCCCTGCGACGCAGCCAGGGCAACACGAAAAGTGACAAACGTGATGTTTTCGACATGTTGATCATGTTTTCAATATTTTTCAATCATGATGTTTGTTCAAACATCAGAATGTGATGTTCAGGATGTGTTCGACAGATTGAATTGGTTTGGAAGAAATAAGTTCAAAGGCCTTGTGAGCACCCCTGTGGGCAAGTGGGCATGAACTCCTTCATTCAGGGTGTAGTACACAGAATATTTGAATAAAATTTGGATAGGGGGTGGCTTAAACAAATTATTCCAGGGGCCTGGAGAGGGGGTCCCCTTAAGCCACGGCCCATAAATTTGGAATAATTATGCGGATTAGGTGTTAGGTGCTGGGTGGACATTCCTTTGATGCGACGTGCTCCACGGTCGCCAGGCAGGAAGACTTGAAAGCCGACGCCGAACGCTTGCGGGTCACGGCTCTAGCGGGCGGAGGAAGTGCCGGCGCAGGAAGCACCCCTCATTTTTATGGTTTTGTTAAAAGTCACATCCATTTAAAGACAACCTCATTTTCTATTCGGTCAATCCAAGGGGTAGCATGACCCGTGGGCAACGTGACACGGTGTTATGACCGGTAGCTGCGGCGGAGCTCGTCCAACTCTAGCTCTCCAACCTATGGTTTTCGGCACATGACACCACTTTCCGGGCGCATGGCGAGGTGCCTCTTTGTTTCCGCAGCACCGGCAAGTAAAACGGACCTCTTAATCCTCTTCCTGTTGCGCTCCTAGTCCCGAGGCCGAGAGTTCATGCACCGTGAGAGTTCCGTAAGGACGAGAACCTGGCGCGCGCCGATGAGTGGAAAGCCATCGTGCCCGGCGCCCCGGGACCACAACGGCCTGATTTCAGGGCGAGGGTTTTGGTGGGAAACTTATATCCTGGTCTATCAGGCATATTCTTTGCACAGACCGTCACAGACCTATGCCTCCAAGATTGAGTGACCAAGTTTAAATACCTACCAACCTGGAACAACGCTAGGGACCCCAGGACAGGAGTTGGCATCAAATCACGCCACACCTTTGCATTGCATTCAGAGGTCGCCACATGAGTTTCTTACTTTTTGTGTGTTAGACAACTTGAAATATAACACATATGATTCATATGATCAGATATGATATGATATGACATATTAGTATATGAATTGACTTGGATGCAGAAACTCGCCACCAGTTCTGAACGATGCGCGTGCGCCCGCGCCACCGAAACCGCGCCACCGTGATGAGCCTCCATTGGACCCACGAGGTCTGAGCTTGCAGATCTGCGAAGCAGCCCGGGGTCCCGCCGGTGTCCAGGCGCCGAAGGCGCAAAGGAGGCATGGAGCCTCCTTTGGTAGAAAAAGCGGGTCTCTTGTGCTATGTGCGCAAAATTGCTATATAAAAACCAGAGCAACTGGTGTGGACTTGGTATATCAGCCAGACTCACCAAGGTTGAACAAGTTTCAAGGCCCACATAACTCTCTGGCGTTGGCTTTGCCATCCAATCCTCCAAGCCACGGATAGAGACAGCACATCAGACAGATCCAGACAGAACATGGTCAACTTCGGCACCAGAAATCCTCCAGCAAGTTCTTTTGCCTGAGCGCATGTTGCATTCATGCTCTCTTTGAACGGGGGCGCGTTCTATCATAGATTTGATTAGATTTGGCGAGGAGAAGCTTGCATCGAGCACTCAGGGCAATATGTGGTGGCCACGGTTCGTTTGGTGGGGGGGTGCCAGCCTTTTGGGTTCCCAAGTGTTGCATGGTCGGTGGTCCCCAACGAAATCACATGTACTAAGCAAGCTATACATATAGCTTTGAGGCTGGGATGCTACATGGATTCGACATGACTCAGGAACAATTCAACTCAACACTTTTCCCTTGAGCGTCTTCTATGTGAGGCCGAGCAGCTCTGGATACCAAGTGTGCGGAGCTCATCGACAAGGCTGCATAATAATGGGAGGGCATTGACGAGTTCATGGGGTGGATATGTGTTTGTCCGCAAAATTCCTCGCCAGGCTCAGCATACTTAAACTGAGTTTCGAGTTACAGTAGATCCTCCTGATTCCCGATCGTGCCCTTCTTTCCGCACCCCTATGTATCATGAGCTTCGACACTAGGGGCGTGGTTGGAATTGCTGCAAACCTTCAAGAACCTGACTGAGAAAAGATAAATCATCTGTACATGCCTATGCGGTGTCGGGTTCTGTTGGGTGTCCAAACAGGTCAAGATCCTTATAAATGTGATAATCTGGGGCAAGCGCAGGACCAACACGGATGCACTGGCACCTCGCAGGCGGCAGACGCTTCAGAAGAATGTCAAAAGCAGAGAGGGTGTGATCCTCAATGGGAGGCGGAAAGAAAAGGCAGACCATTTTTTCATTTTTTTCGAATTGAGATCTCTCAAGTCCGTTGTTTTTCTCCAAATCTTAGTTTTGTTTTCGTGTTCAATGGAGGTGGCACTATATAGGACACCAAAGCACACTGGCAGCCGGGACAATCTAGGTTGTCTTGTTCCCACCTTTGATGTATTTTCATGTGGTATCATGTGCATCTCGGATCATCTCGGTATATTTAGGTGGCTTCGGTTCAGATGGAAACGTAGGAACGGTTTCCGAACAGGTGCACACCTGCTCAAACAGAGGGAATCGGCCTCGTGGCCTCACACGCCCTCACGCAGCATGGTCGCTCAAGACGCTGCTTTGCAGAAAACAGAGGAGCCAAGCCACGCTTTTCCTTCGCCCGTGAAGGGACCCGGGTCCCGCGGCCCAGGCTGGCCGAGAGCTTCCGAAGCGAGCCGGGGCCTCCGGGTGTGGGTCAAATGGGACGTGATCCACGTCTGACCAGTCTGCCAGGTGGCGAACGACCTCCCAGGTAGGTCAAGCAAGGCACAGCCACGGAGGGCCAGGGAAATCGCATCTGATTCTTGAGAATCTTCAGAAATCCATTGGGAAATATCCTGGTAGGTTGACCTTCTTAGATCTCCTATATTAGTATATAGTCTATTCTATTCCGTGCATCGCCCAGGTCGGAGACCCTGAAAGGGGAGCTGCAGCAGCTTCAAAAGGCCGCAGGGGATGCCCAGCGACACCTGGTCGATTGCGGCGTCCGTGGGGGTCTCTACCCATGGTGGGTTCCACTGCGGTGCGCGTGAACATGTGCCTTTCTAGCGCATGTTCCATTCAAAGCCCAATCGTTCTGTAGGTTGTATCCCTACCTCCCAGCTTGGGGGGTCAGGCCTTAGGAGGGCTGAAACCTCAACGGAAAACACTGCCGCCTTTCTAGCAGTTCATTCTTGGGAAGCTTTTGGTCACGCTTCACATGCTTCATTTCACATGGCTATATCCTGGGTGGACCAAACTGGCGCAAGCCGCAGGGGACAACAGTTTCAACTCACCCCGTGACCAACGACCATGAACTATGTTTCTCTTAGAAACGTCCCATCCATTTCCATCCCGTGCAGGGATTTCTGAAGCATCGATAGACAAAAGGGTTCGTCCAAGGTCGGAAAGCTGTTCCTAGGTCTTGGATGCTGCAAGCCAGCAGCAGATCACGGCTGAAGAGGCTGCTGGCAGCCTCCGGAAAGGTTTATAAGGTTGGTTGGAACCACCATGCCGCTGTGTTTGGCGTAGATTTGGACTGAGGCACTTCAGTGGCAACGCATTGTTGTTGCGCAGTCGACAATGGGTTTCTCAGAACCGGAAGTCGTTGATATACATCCCCGTCGATCTGCGTGCTGTGACATGCCTGAGATGTTTGGGGTGATCGAGCTAGGTAGGACGTAAGTGGACCATATTGGACCCATAAGAACCCATTTGCCTCCACGCGATTCGTCAACCTGATTAGCAGCTAGCAAAGGAGCTTTCAAAGATACTCCTGGATTCTCTCCATCTATCCGACCCAAAAGAGATTGCAGCGCATGATTTTCGTAAGGACAACCTTTGCAGGATCTTTTGCCCCTACCATTCGTGGCACAATCCAGGCCGCTCCCCTGTTGAGCCGCCAGCCAAAGCAAGACATTCCAAGACCTTCAAGTCGTCATGTGATCGGACAGCCTGAGACCGGAGACAGCGGTGATGTTCAAAAGAAACGCAGAGAGACCCCCCTTTCAATCCATGCTGGAAGCGAACACAACCGGAGTGAGTTGAAAGTATTTGGAAAAGAGAAGACATGAACAGACCCCTTTGTAACAAACTTGTCATTGTGGCAACTCTTTTTTCCAACCACCAATGGTTTTGCATGCCTGGGCTGTGCCTATCATCAACCTCGGTAGCCAATACCCGCAGCCATGCAGCGGGCCATTCAGACGTGCATTATGAGAGGCCGGAAGTGCCCGGAAGGGCCCGCTTGGTTGCTCAAGATGATAAAGGATGAGCATGACGTATCTCCAGGTCTTGGCCGCATCCAACACCACCCAAGGATGGTTTAACATCTATAGACTCCCCGTAGCATCCCCTAGGATAAGATTCAGGATCCAATAGCCATTCCGGAAAGTAGCCTTGCTGGATACATGTTGGAATTCGCCACAGAGGGGGCCTCCGCTCAGCCACCATCCAGGTTCTGAAAGCTCCAGCAAAGACCCCTGGCCCACTTGACCCCTTTGTCTTTGCTCTTGCCCTTTCCTTTGCGACCTTTGCCAGCACCACTGGCCGCGAAACGAGCCGCTCAGGCGGCACGAGCAAAGGCGTTTTCCTGCGTGCCGGCGACCTTCCACCCCCGGGGCCGCCTCTCGGTATGAGGAGACGATGGGGTGTGGGTGGTAACAGGCCCAGGGTCCAGGGTTTGGTCGCAAAAGGAGGGCGTAAGGAGGGCGTTGGATGAGTTGGGTGAGTTGGGTGGGGGCGTTCCTCCCCCTTGACTTGAAGGCTGTTTCCATGCCTTCCAGTTCTTCGCCATGGTGTGGCGGGTTGGAAGGCCTTTTGAGCCGAGCTCTAGCTTTTCGAGGTGAAGCTGCACCCACATACGTGGCTGACAATAGATAAGTAGAGATCCCTCGGCGACCGTTTCCGTCAACACTGTGGGTTCCCATGCCAACTGCACATGTGGCTCTTTGGATGTTCAGGTTTGCACATGTTGGAACCCGACAAAGGCCGCACATGTTGGGAGCTGCTTTTTCAGTGATTTTCCCAATGTGGATTGCCGTTGTTAGTGTTTGGGAGGGTCAAATCTTTGGCTTCATTCTCCATGTTCCCTCCCAAGTGAACAGCAGGTACTGAAGCGGCACTTGAAACTCAGATTCGAAGGCAACACTCCCACCCTGACGGGAGCCCCACCACACAATATCACACAACCTCCCAGCTCACCGCAGGTCAACCAACTCACTGTGGGTGAACAAATTTAAAGCCCAGAGGCGACACAAGAGAAACGTGACGGAAACCTTTTCTTTTCCGCACTTTTGATGGAGGAATTATGTACCCGGGGTATCAACTCCGACAAGGTCTATAGCTGAAGCACCAATCAAGGTTATTTTTCCCATGTCGCATGATGGGCCTGGGTCCAACCCACAGGGTGGTAGACGATCTGAGCGGAATATGCCCAGAATTCCAGATCTTTTCCAAAATTTTACGGCTAAAAATTCATGAGTTTGTTATTATTCTAACGGTACAGACCCATGCGGTTTTTTTATAAGCCTTTATTGTGCAGCTTGGGGTGTATATACTCCAATGAGGATCCCCACTCGGCTCGCTTGCAGTGTTGCCGAGGCTGCGCGATGCGGTGATCCTGCGGATCTTTGGATCACCGGACCCCCGGCAGCGGCTTGGTGCGTGGTGGCCGAGCATGGCGTGGGGGTGTTCGGATTGGGGTTTTGCCGGGATTGGAGGTGAATTGGAGGAGGTCGCCCCAAAAAACACAAGTAGTGAGTAGTGAGGTGTGGATTCTTTGTATGCTGGGTGCATTTGGGTACTAAACCTGCATGCATCCAAGCATGTTTGGGCCACCCAGCTGAAAGAAACGTTTTCGTTGGGACAGGGCCAGGGCAGTGAAAGATGTGGCGAGTCCTGGCTACGAGGCGCCGACCAAGGCGACGGTACGGCCAACCCTGATGGGCTTTCGTTCGTGTAGATCAGAGATCAGCCAATTCCACACTCCGATATAGCTCATACTGAAAATGAGCTGAATATGATACATATCTGGTTGACATCATATGATGGTGTCTGTGATTTCTAAGAATCAAGCCACCAGAGAGGTGGACACAATCAATTGCATTCTTGCAGAGATGCTTGGGGCCACCTGAAGAGGCCGAGGGATCCACGGTTCACCGGGAACCCCACCCGGTGGACTCCCGGTGGTCAGTTTAAGACACCAGAACAAGGCAATGAGGCAACTTAATGTAGACTCTGGATTAGCACCCAATTGAAATGGAGTATCCTCTTCATATCGGGGGTTTATTAATCAAGAGTCTGCATTATGATGTGAATTGACCCAACTTTTGTGTATGATTTGCTTTTGCTTCTCCGTTTCCCTAACCCTTCAGAAAGAGGAAGTCAAGTAGGAAGACAATAGGAGTGCACATGCAGATGCACACATTCTGAATATCTGCGGTACTTGGTATTGCCCACAATTTGCTCCAATGTGTTTGTATTTTCACTGTTCTTCTGCCCTCATCCTTGGTGCATGGCTTTGACTGTTCACCTTCAGGATCGATGGCTTGGGTGGCGCGGATACTCTCACCAGTAAGCTTGCCCTCCGGCAGAGGAAGGTCCAACGAGAGCTCCGGGTGGTTGGCTTTGCAGGTTGCAGGCAGCTCATATCAGTTTGAATTGTTTGACGCGGATGTGCCAATTCCAAAGGAGGAATCGATATTCTTCTTACAATTGCACTTTGCATACTGCCATGCAAAGAGTTTGAATGTTCAAGGGGTGATGTCATAGAGAGCTTTCTGAGGTGTGTAGTTGTACGTTATGTCAGCATCGTACAGTTATCCCAGGTAACAGTTGCCCCAGGTCCCCATCTTCAGGGCCCAAAACATGGCAGATCAACCTGCAGATAGGCTTATTAGGGAGGCACAGAATCGGAGAAGAGACCTTGCAGGTATTGGGATATCGGATATCTATCGTTTTACACATAGATGCGAAGAAGAGGACTTTTTAGAGTCAGGTCGTCACGAGCAAATGAGCAATGCTCACACGGACTCTTTGAAACGACAGGCAATGGTGGTGATCACCCCTTGCCTTTTTGTGACACGTGAACGCACACAAGCCCGAACACCATATTCGTGAAACCCATTCTTCGTGGAACGTCCGAATTCGAGGCCATCATCGGTCCGCCCTCGGTGCCCACAGCAGACGCTCGGCGGGGCTGCTAGCGCATGACTAGCAGGGTCATGTCACATGTCAAACACATTAAAACATTAAACGTTTAAACTTTAAACTAGCTAAACACATTTACAGCTGCTTTGGAGATGGCTTTGTTCAAACATGGCTTCAACAGGCTTTGATGATGATGATGATGATGATGATGAGGAGGAGGAGGAGGAGGATGGTTTCTATAGACTTTAGTCCAAGTTTTAGTCCATAGACCATATATCATATACTGTACCTACCTATGTACCTATAATTATACCCACAAGTCTACCCATAGCAATTGTTTAGACATACATGCACTCTTTGGTTTAAACATTGACTTGTTTAGGCAGCATATGCATTTAAAACAAGCCTTAGTTTAAACCGTTTAAGCCAGAAGGCAGCCCAACTCTGATGACTAATAGCTAGCTGCAGTGGAACCACTTGTGCAAAAGAGCTTGGCATCATTCCAGTGTGACTTTATGGTATATTACTATGTGACTATGCGTTGTTGGATGTTTTTGGTTCTTTCTTTGTTTGCTTCCCATCGGAGGTTAAGCAATAACCAAACTGAATCAACAGCGCCAAGCTCGGGCGGGTTTCTGCAGTTGTTTCCCCTGAACATCCTCGTCGCGCCGAACTGCGGCCTGCAGCTTCAGGATGTGGACTACACCTTTGGACAAGTTTCCTTCGTGGAACACCAGGCGCGGCTGCGATGAGTTGTGAGGCGCCATCGGCCATCACCGTTGGCCGCTTTTGGGCGGGGGGGCAATCCACTGGATGCGTTTGGATGACCAACCCCAGCGGAAAAGAATGAAACAGACTCGGACCCAATGAAACCGTTCAGAGACCTCCAGCACAGCAGAGGTCCACCGCGAACGAGAGGGGGCATGGGGGGCGACATCGAGTGGTCTCCTAAAGCAAGCGTCCTTCATCCTTGCCGGATGAAACGGCTCGTGGCGGTGGATGAATGGAGGAACTTCCAAATTCCAACGGGAGTTGCACCTTTGTTTCCTCATCACCCAGTTGCAACCCTGCGGAGAGGAGAGACCACAGGGTGTGGATATAGTGTAATTATGTTCAAGCCTTTTTTCCAGGTACTCTATCAGTACACCAATTATAGGACATTCGGCCAGTGCTACTGTAGGTATATGACATCCATTTGACTGTGGGTCACAACTTGACCCGGTCGGTTGACCATGTTTGGTTGTTTATTCTGTTCATTCTCAGCGGTCATCGGTGGTAGCCCAGTGCCATGGCCCACAGCCCCCCCACGTCGGG